GCACTGCAAGTTGCGGCCTATGCGGCCTGCCAAAGCAAAATGCGAAGCACTACTACGGAACCTCAGGTTACCCAGCAGCTGCTTGGAACTTCAAATATCACAGGCCCGTGACATCCCACGCTGAGGCCTTGGGTTGGCCGTGGGAGAAGACTTTACAGCGGGATGTACGGGCTCCTCACTCTGCTGTGCACATGGATTTACACTCGTCAGGACATATACAAATCCCCAGTGCTCTCACCGAGCGGCCTGTCGCCCAACAACTTTTGCTGCCACGAGCAAAGAAGCACTGCAAGTTGCGGCCTATGCGGCCTGCCAAAGCAAAATGCGAAGCACTACTACGGAACCTCAGGTTACCCAGCAGCTGCTTGGAACTTCAAATATCACAGGCCCGTGACATCCCATTCCATTACAGCATTCATGCTCACTAGGTGAAGCCTGCTCATCACAGCAGGTAGCGTCTGGGATCTCCGACGGATGGCTGCATGCCGATCCCGAGGAGCTTGTTCCCACCGTTTGAGAAGAAGAGCATGCTTTTCGTATCCGATTTCTTAGCCTGCCATCTTCCCCTCTTCTGGATCTCGAGCAGTGTCCTGCGTTTGTGGAAGGCATCGTTGGAGGCCCCGGAGTGCCGTAAAATGTGAGGCATAACACACTGGGCCTTGTAGTGAGGCGTCTTGGCTGCAGTCTTGAACCACTGCTTGTAGCGCTCCAGTGAGAGGTGCTCAAAAAGGTTGTGGTCCACAAGCTTCATGTAGAACTTCATGGCCTCCTTGAGCCATTTGCGATCTGGCCTATCAGCAATGAGCACGGAGTCGTCGTAGCTGCCGGTCTTGGTAGAGGAGCCAAGTTCGAAGGGCGCCAGAACCAGTGACCAAGCGTCGTAGCGACCACCAGCCGGGAACCCAACGTTGGCGCAGCTGAGCCCCAAACATTCTGAAGGCCTGATGTACGTGCCGTACTGCAAAACAACGGCGAAGGCAATGTCAATGTTGTTCTGCTCCAGAGTCAACGTGGCGAAGTCAAAGACAAACTCCTCAGGAGCCGGGAGCCGCATGCCTCCAGGGGCAAGATTCTTCCAGCCCGCCAGCGCCTCCTTCGCGCTCGGAAGGAATTGTTGCCGAGGCACCGTGTTGCGAAGGAGTTGAAGGCCGTAGATCAGGTAGGAGCCCACAGAAGGTGACGCCTCATCCTCAAGGGCAAGGCGAGTCAAGTAGCTGGTGACCATCTGATCCAGGTTGGCCTTGGTAATGCGGCGCCTTGTTGGCGCAGCCCAGGCTTCAAAAGCTCGAATGTGCTTGCGGTACGCATCCAAAGTCTTCTGAGACACGTTCAAGGCTCTCAACTCCACAAGGGGCGAGAACTGTGTCCCTTCGGGAGTGGTGCGGCGTTTAGCGCGCCGCTTGGGCGCCGCCTCCTTGTCGGTAGCCAGCGAGCTTCGCGATGTCAAAGGCGTCGAACTGGCCGAAGACGACGGGGCGCGTGCGGATGTACTGCCGGGACTCCTTGAGGAAGGGGCGGCCGTCGACGAAGAGCTCGGTGTCCGCAAAGTCGTCACTTGCTTGAACGCCTCGTCCGGCAGTCGCAGCAAGTTGGCGTCGAGCTCCACTCGCCGCCTTTTCAAGGCCATGGAGGTAGTCGAGCACGCCTTGAGGCTGACAACTACCAACTGCACAGCGGGGGCATGTGCCTGGAGCAGCTGAGCCCAAAACCTGCACAAACTCTCAGTGTAAGCTCCGGCTCCAGTAGTACGGTTACGGGTCTGCTTGCCATCAATGACAACACTCTCGCTGCCACGCAACTGCTGATGCACATGCCCTCCACTGCAACGTCTTTGAAATGCACAAAGCCATGACACGTTGGTCAAGATGCTGGTTGGTTTCTTGTAAGGTTGATTGAAGGCGCACATGTGCAAGGTGAAGAAAGACACGCCCCGGATCTTAAACAGGTCACGTATTGGTCCAAACTGCCAAAGTCTGCTGGTCTGAGGGTTCTCAAGCGACACGAAAACGTGACGCTGAAGACAAGCCCTTATCATGCGTGCTGAGAAGAGAGCCCACGCAACACCCACAGCCTGCTTGTACCTAGCCTTGCCAAAGTCCCGAATGTTGCGACGGGCCCATGACCACACAGTACATGGAGTCCCCAAGTGCACACACCAAAGGATCCCTGTTTTGACCAAGCTCAGCAGAAAATTCTGAGTCCGAGGATTGAGGTCGAACTGCTGCCCCTTCGCCTTTTCTATGTCAGGAAGTACTCGGAGAGGGGCGTGCGACACTGCCCGAGTGAGGTTCGCCGTGCCAGACAAGATCTGGAAGTTGGCCCATATGAGGTCTTAAGTCTGTTTAGGGGAGGGTCAGGCGCAGCAGTTAAGGATGTGCCGCAGGGTCTAGAGCGTGGGGTACTAGGCTCGGGGTAGAACCCTGAGCCCCAGCAGTTTTCGGCAGAGTCAACAAGTACTCAGGCAACCAGAGAAAGCTCCGACATAAGAATTCTGAAAATCGTATAGTTCATTTTCGATGCGCAAGGGGGCCGCAGTCTGAGGTCCACTGGTCGACGTGTCCAGCTCCAGCGAGTCGGCGCGCAAAGTCACGCCCTGGATGTCGTCGTCAGGTTCCACAGGTTGCCGAGGAAGGAGAGGTTGTCCTCGCTGAGCCCGCACAAAGTCTACAAAGTCTGGGCCCCAGCGCCTCGAGGGCTCATCTGAAACGCTGCGCTTGCTCTCTATGTTGCGGATCCTCCACTGAACCCGCCCCGCAATCTGGTAGGCGGCTGCCCTTCTGCACAATCCTTGAGTTGATGTTCGGAGACGTTCTTCCACGGCGCCGAAGTCACCAACGTCCAGCGTCGCTCGTCAGACAAGGCCTCCCCCAGGACCGGGATCAACGGTCCAGCAATGACAATAGGGTTCTGAGGTTCCAAGTAGACGAGAACGCCTCCGCCTGAAGAGCTCCGATGAGTACTCGCGATCGGCCTTCATGTTGAGGTAGCGTCCATAGCTTGTCCGCGTCCCAACTCCAGCCTCAGGTGTTTGTCCAATGTAGCCAGAGGGCTCGTCCTCGGGCAACTTGGGCAAAGAGAGCTCATTGGTGTCCAGCTGCGGGATGAAGCGCCACTTTTCTCGGTGATCCAAAGCTGCTTGAAGTTCACGGTGTGTAGCTTGGGTATACACGAGAGCGTATCCCCGGTCAGAAGAATCGCCAATGTGCACCTCCTTGCAAAAAGGTGCAGACATCTCACGCTCCACCAAGAAGATCAGCCCAAGCGCTTGCCGAAGTTCTCCCCGAACGCTGGGCCACAAAGTTGCCCGGCGGTCCCCACGCTGTGCTGCAAACTTGTAGGTGGCAGAAAAGACAGCCATGGCCGGCCACAAAAGCTGAAAGTGAAGTTCGCCAAGCCGAGGTACACGCGGAGTAGCCGGCCAGAAATTCGCCTTCGCCGAAGAAGTCCACGCGTCGCCAGCCACAACTTCCAGTAGTAGTAGTGTTCGATCAGGACGGCACACTGACACGATGTAGCCGCCACCAGGAAAGGAAGAGGTAGTAGAGCTCGTCAGCCGACGGCCCTTCTCGCACGCCAGGTGAGGGTACGTTTCTCGGAGACGACCCTCTTGACCTCGGTGTGCCACGGCTCCGTGGCCTGCAGTTGGGCATTCAACGCCCGGTAGCTCCAAGCTTCGCCCTCCTTGATCCGCACCTCCAGGGCTCTGAACCACCGCCAACGTCGAAAGCTGGAAAGTGGCCGCCTCGTCCGCCTTGTTGTTGAGGTAGGGGCAAACGCCGGCCTCCGGCCAGCCAGCTGGGGGAGCCTCCACAGCTCCCTCCTCCACGCCTCCCGCAAGCGCTCGTGGAACCCAGCCAAGTCTCGACATCGCCAAGCGGGGTGAGCCACCAGCTGCCCTGTGTGCGCCAGCCAACAGCCGCCAGCGCGTCGTCGACGCGAAGTCCTCGACGCCCTTGCCCACCTCGCACGAGTCGGAGCCACTCCTTGGTCAGGACCGTCACGATGATGGCGAAGTCCGGGCGCAGGTCGACGCCAATGAAGGTCCAAAGAAGGTAGGCCAAAGGCCCACCCCACACCGCCGCCTCGAGCTGTGACGTCCAGTCCCACTGTCGGCCGTGCAAAGCGCGTCCACGGGCTTCGGAATCGGAACTTCAAAATCATCAACAAGCCAGCCAGCCAGCCTCGCCCGAGTCGTTCGTTGTGTGGACCGCCACCCGCCGTATCCTCCGACCTCGCTCCCACAGCTCCTTGGTCACGTCCTTGGCGTCGAAGGCCTGGTGCCCGGTAAGCCTGTATGGGATGCCAAGCAGTACGAAAGTTGTCTGGGGGATGCCGATGACGTCCGCGTGCTCCATCAGGGCCTCGCGCTGCTCCACGTTGCACGCAAAGGACTTGCCGGGGTGGAGCTCAAAGCCAAGCATCTCGTCTGCAACTGCGCCAGCCTGGGTGCCGTCTCCGAACGTTGCACCGCTCCCCGGCCTCGAGTCTAGAGGGTCCTGTCATCAAGAAAAATGCCCATGCCAATGTTGTCCACTTGGGTCTGGACGCGCCTGCTCCAAATGTGCATCATGGCGTTCAAGAGGAGCGGTGAGAAGGGACAGCCCTGAAGCAAGGAAGCCCCCGCCCCCACAGATCGAGGCAAAAACGCCAGCGACCGCCACCCACCTCTCCTGCTCCGTGTAAAGTCCTCAAGGATCGCCGCCAGCCACGCCGGAGCGCCCCGCCACTGCAGCACAGTAAGGGCTGCCTGCGGAGAAACCCTGTCGAAGCACTTCCGCACGTCAGCCTTGCAGCCCACAAAGGTGCGCTTTCCAAGAGGCAGCCAAGTTGCTCGTGAATGGCATCGACGGAGCGCCCGGGCAGCCCGCCATGAAGACACTCCGGCATCCACGCACAGAACCAAGGCCGCAGCTGCGCCAGCATCTCGGACGCCCCCAACCTCCACGCCAGCTGCGTGAGCGCCAGCGGTCGAAGTCCTCCATCGGGTTTCGGAATGCCCGCCACCCTGACCTGCTTCCAACCAAGAGGGAGCTTGCCCCCCTTGACGACGGCAGTCCAAATCCTCGCCAGCTTGTCGAAGAAGTCCAAAAAAAAAGCCGCAACCAACTCGCCCGTCCATCCATCAAGTCCGCCCGCCTTGCGCTTTGCCTTCCGCGCCCGCCGGCTGAGGATAGAACGGGTCCTCTTCCGCACCTGGAACCACAGCTTCTGGCAAAGCACATCAAGTCCATCAAGCCGCATAAGGCGGTCCCAAGGGGCTCAGCACCGGCCGCAGCGTGGAAGCTTCGCAGAAGAAGTGAGCCCTCTCTCAGTGACTTCTTGACCACCGTAGGGATGGCCATCAAAGTGGACCTCGCGCTCGGCCGCCGGAGTAGCTGGCCCCCAAGGTGTCCAGAAAGCTTCGAAGGCGGTCCGTGTCAAAGTTGGCCGCCTCGCCCCAAAGTTTGTCCAAAGAAGCCTTCAAGCGCTCAGCAGCCGCGCCCTTGCTCGGACACTCCCCCAGCTGGCCCACCTCGCACGCCTCATGGTGACCTTGGCCGTGATCCATCTGGCCATGGCACCGACTTTTTCCTGGATGTCGTGCTTCCACCTCCGGATGCGCGCCGCGTGGGCTCGCTGCGCCTCCTCCTCAGCCTTGTCGTTCAGGAAGCCGGCGACGTTGTCAAAGCACAACCCGCGGCAAGTCAGGGAACCTGCCCGCCGAGACCAGGGCCTGCTGTATGTGGTGCTCCTGCCGTTTGTGCTGTAGCTGCTTCGAGGGTGGGACGCATGCCGCCAGCCAGGCAGGCGACACCACCACCGTAGAGACCCACAAGCACCTTCTCCAGCATCAGGCGAGGCGGGTCACCACGCAGCCACTCAAGCTCGCCATAGTGTCCAAGCAACCCCTGCTCTTCGGCCAGGCTGCCGCCGGGACCCACAATCAAGTCATTGTCCAAGACGCCCGCAGAGATGCCGGACAGGCCGCCCAATCTCCGCCAAGATCTCGCCATCGCAACACCCCTCAAAATTTGAGGCAGAAGGCCAGGTCCACCCCGGCGCCGACAAAAGCGCCCCCGCACAGTGAGGCCGCTCCCGCACTGTATACCCCCTAAATCAAAACCTGCGCAACACTTCTTTTACAGGGACTCTTCCCTACGGCTGCCTGGCACCGCTCCCCACAGCTGCAGCCTGCCTTGATCAGGTCCGCCGTCATGGCCCGGGGCATGGCCTCCCGCAAGTGAACACTTCGTCAGGGATCCCTGCATAGATCCCGCCGCGGCCACCGAGATCACCAGGATGATCAGGAGGTGGTTCACATAGCCGCCAGCCACAACTTCCAAGCTCTCTGCGGTTTGGCCGTAGCGGTACAACGGTCGCCAAAAGCCAGCCGAAGTCCCAAGCTGTCCATCTGCCTCTGGTCCTCCACCCCGTCCACGTTGAAGGGGATGCCCAGATCCTCAAAGTGCTGCGCTATGAGCGCCATCCGCCGCCCTGCTTCTCCAGGCCGCCCGCCAATGACGCGCACGTTGTCCGCGTAGGTGCCAGTGAGTTGAAGGTCCGGAAGAACTCGCGGAGCAGGTTCAGTCTCGTATCTCCTCTGTCTCAGGGGCCTCATGGCCGGAAGTTGCCGCAACTTGGTGGCAGACAATCTCGTTCGCGAGGTAGAGTGCCCAGCTCCAGCCCATGGGAATGCCCTTGAAGGCCGCGTACACTTTCTCACCAGGCTGCAACGCCTCGCGCTTGCCGGTGTCGTCGTTGCACACGCTGTCCACGCGAAAGCCGTACTCCCTGAGCTCAAGGTCGTCGAAGGCATCATCCGTACAGAACCACGACGCCAGCTCCGGGATGCAGAAATTGTAAAAACAATCTCCCACATCACCCGCTTCGGCCATGACGCCGTGCATGTCCAATGCCTCACCAAAACCACTGCTGAGGAGCGTCTCCTTGATCAAGTCCACAGCGGTCATGCCGGCAGGAGTCGCCAGCCGGGTCACCGGAGGGGAATGGTGACAGCTGTTGGCCTGGCGGGCATCGACGATGAGTCGTTGCTGTCCATCCTTCCTGCGCACGGTGAAGAATCCAACGCGTGCTTTGCTCTGACGACGGAAGTCAAGGAGGTTGGCGCGGTCCAAGGCCTGGAAGAGGATGCGCTTGTGCTTATCCCGCCTGAGTCCAGGATCCCAGTAGGGTTCGTTCAGGTTCTCGAGAATGAGGTCCAGCTCCAAGCCAAGTTCGGAGAAGTGCTCAAGGTAGCCACGTGCTTCGCGGGGAGCAAGGTCTCGAGCGTTCTTCGGGCCCAGACGTCGACGTAGGATTTTGATCTTGTCGAGGTCCGTGGCCACCAGCGGGCTTGCCTCCTGCGAGTACAGGTGTGAGCGCCGGGCAAGGTCCTGAAGAAGCTGATTCAAAGAGCGCAGCGAAGCGTCCACTCGCCGGTGCAGCTGTGAAGTCAAAGTCAAAGAATGATCACCCCCTCGCCCATCAGGAAGTCGAGGTAGAGGAAAAGGATCCCCACACCGATGGTGCAAAGAGGGGCGCCGTACACTGAATTCATGCCATGCATCCTCCACTGTTGTCGCAGCAGGCCCAGGGCCTAAGCCCCCAGCGGGAGACCTGCCGCAGCCCGCGCTCATTTGGCCGAGCCGGCGCCATACTCGGTGGCGCCTGTCGTCTCGTCGCCCTTCCCCTTCTTCTTCTTTTTCTTCTTGCGCTGCTTGCCCTTGCCGCCGCCACCATCGCGCCATCAGAGCTGGAGTCGCCGCCCTCGTTCCGACCACCACGTGTGCGAAGCTGGCGCCGCTCCTGATTGTAGAGCCTTTCCTGCTTCCAAATGGATGCCCGCTCCTTGAGTCGGCCAGTGACCCACTCGGTGTTTCGAAGTGCTGGCCCTGCCATCTGGAAGCGCTGCCGAGCCTTCAATGATGTCCAGACCTGAGAAGTCAGGCTGCAATGGGTTGCGCTCAACGGCCAGCTCTGTGGATGACCCACCTGGACAAATGCTCCCCCACGGCCAAAGCACTAGCATCAAGCTGGGCGAACGTGTGCATCAAACGAAGGCCTCACAAAGTCGTCGCTGGCCCGCTTGGAGACACCAGACAGGCGAATCGCCTCCCGGCCACTGACTCATGGAACTCGCGTGCCACTCGAACTCCAGCAATGGGGAACTCGGGGTCAGCGGGCGACTTCATGAAAGCCACGGCCTCCTTCAGATCGAGCCGCTTCTTGCCACTGGGGTCACGACGGTCGCCAAGAAGTCGAACGTCGGAGGTCTCAAGCCCGCGAGCCCGGCGCCACTCTTCAACCTCGTTGCTGCCGACGCGCTCCACAAAGACCTCCTCGCCGCCAAGCAAGATAACCCCCTTGGAGGTAAAGGCGAGGCCAGTGGCCTCGTTTGCTAAAAGCCCCGCGTCCACACGTCTCCCAAAGTCAGCGCGCCGAGGATCGACACGATCCAGCTGAAGGCGTCCGTGTCGATGACGGCACCTTCCCCCAGCACAGCAGCCTGTATCTGCGCCTGCCGCTTGTAGTTGGCAAGGCTGGCTCTCCCAATGGGGTCGTGAGCATAGATCTCGTCCACGATGTCCGCCGGAAAGGGAGCGGCCCTGTCCAAAACTCGATGCCGTTGTGCTCCTAAGTCACGCCTCTGGATCTCCAAGACAGGGGTCAAAGTGAGCCAGTTGCCTGCCTCGACCCTGTGAAGCAATATGCGATGGTGCCAAAGAAAACCCTCAGCATCTCCGGAATGAACAACCACTTGGATCTCAGTGATGTATAGTGTGAGGTCCGCCATGCTCGGAGGTCCGAAGGTCTAGTGGGGCGAGATCGGCCTACTTGATTGGGACTATCTGTAGCAGTTGAAGCCTCTGAAGCCCCCGTTGAAGAAGGCCCTTGTTGCTGGAGCTCAGGTTCCGCGCCAGCAGTGCCAGAGATCAAAGCAGGCAGGGTCTCGGGAAGAGGTACTTGGAGATGAGGTCGATTAAGCCACCCTCGAACTAGAACAACCACCAAAATCAAGTCAGCAACCCCAGACAAGCGAAGCAGCCAACCTTGAATCCAGAGTTGCCAAGAGCACTCGCCCGCCGAGTTCTCCAAGTCAAAGACCACGGTACGTGTCCGCGACACCTCCTCGCGCAAGGCTTGGATTTCCTCCAGCACAATTATGGGAGGGGGTCGTTGCCCAAGCCGATCCAGCGCCCAAAGTATGGCTAAGCAAAGGTAAGGGCGCATCTAGGTGGCAACTTGAGCTAGAAGACTTTACAGCGGGATGTATGGGCTCCTCACTCTGCTGTGCACATGGATTTACGCTCGTCAGGACATATATGTTTTTCTTTTGGGTTTTGCCTTTGACTTGACTTTAGGCTGGGTTCGACTGCCTTCGGCTTGATCTTGTCGGACTCGGCAAATTCAAAGAGCGTCAGAACATCATCAGGATCGTTCTTTGGCGGGGTTGGTGCAGAAGCTTTGCTTGGGAGAACAAAGCCAAGTTTTGAAAGGCGCTCCCACGCCTCGATCTGAAGTTTGCGACACGCACGGTTGACGTAGGCTGTCAGGCTCCAACGATGCCCTTTCCAGGGTTCGACTCTGTGAAAGGTTGTGGAATCAAACGCAACTAACTTGCCCGTCTCTTCGCGCATTTTACCCACAGTTAAGGTCCCATCCGGGAGCTGTCTTTTCACGGCACCCTCGTCTCCATCAACCAGACTGTCATCATGGACCCAAAGCCCATCCAAAGCCCATCTCCCTGAAACCTTCCCATTGACATGGTGTAATTGACGGTGTCGCTCTCGTTCCGAACGTCTTGTGAACTTTGACTGGGGACCCATGATTGATACATATGGAGGAAAAGGGTTCAGAAATACCGTGATGCTTGAGGAATTTGCAAAGGTATTAGGTCAACATCGGATGATCGTCGCTTTTTCCGAGTTATTCCCTGAATCCCACCGTGGGCGAACACTCCCAGGATAATGCACTCACTCTTGGCTTTGCCTCCCTTGACTACAGCCCTCTGAATCGGATCCTTCTTGAACTTAACCG